AGTTCTTCTGCTCAGTTTGTCTCTTCTTTCCATCTCCTTAGTCATCTCCTCAGTCTGTCTCTTCAGTCCATCTCCTCTTTCATCTCCTCAGTCATCTCCTCAGTCCATCTCCTTATTCGTCTCCTCAGTCCAACTCCTCGGTCCATCTCCTCAATCATCTCCTCAGTCCACCTCCTCAGTCCACCGCCTCAGTCCAACTCCTCATTCCATCTCCTCAGTCCATATCCTCAGTCCATCTTCTCAGTCGTCTCTTCAGTTCACCTCCACAGTCCAACTCCTCAGTCCATCTCCTCAGTTCAATCTCCTAGGTCCATCTCTTCAGTCTTATCTCCTAAGTAGTCTCCTCAGTCCATCTCCTTATTCATCTCTTCAGTTCATCTCATCAGTTCGTCTCCTCAGTCTTTCTCCTCAGTCATCTCCTCAATCCATCTCCTCAGTCCATCCCCTCAGACCATCTCCTCAGTCGTCTTCTCACTCCACCTCCTCAGTTCATATCTTCAGTGCATCTCATCCGTCCATTTCATCAATCCATCTCAGTTCCGTTACCTCAGTCCATCTCTTCAGTCAATCTACTCTGTTGTCTCTTCACTCCACTTCCTCAGTCTACCTCCTTTATCCATCTCCTCAGTCCATATTCTCAGTACAATCTCCTCAGTCCATCTCTTCAATCAATCTCCTTAGTTGTGTCCTCAGTCCAATCTCCTCATTCCATCTCTTCAATCAATCTCCTTAATCGTGTCCTCAGTCCATCTCCTCAGTCCAATCTCCTCAGTCCATCTCCTCAGTCTGTCTACTCAGTATGTCTCGTCAGTCCCTGTCCTCATTCCGTCTTCTCAATCTGTCTTCTTTGTCTTCTGCTCAGTACAAGTCCATTTCCTCCATCCATCTCTTCAATCCGTCTCCTCAGTCCAATCTCCTCAGTCCATCTCCTCAGTCGTCTCCTCAGTTGTCTCTTCAATCCATCTTCTCAGGCGTCTCCTCAGTCTCCATCGCCTCAGTTCATCTCTTCAGTCATGTCCTCAGTCCACCTCTTCATCCCATCTCCTCAGTCATCTCCTCGGTCCACTTTCTCACCCCATCTCCTCAGTCCATCTCCTCAGTCTCCTCAGTCATCATCTTAGTGCACCTCTCCAGTCCACCTCCTTACTATACCAACTCAGTCCACCATTCATTCCATCTTCTCTGTCCACCTCCTCAGTGCACCTACTCAGGCCAGTGTACTCAGTCCATCTCTTCAGTCCATCTCTTTAGTCCACGCTTGAGTCCATCTCCTAAATCCATCTCCTCAGTCCATCTCCTCACTCATCTCCTCACTCTTCTCAGTCTCTCTCATCAGTCAGTCTCCTCAGTCCATCTCCTCAGTTCATCTCTTCAGTGCATCTCCTCAGTCCTTCTCCTCAGTCACTTGCCTCATGTGTCTCCTCAGTCCATCTGCTCAGTTCATCTCCTCCACAGTCCGTCTCCTTAGTCTGTCTTCTCAGTCTGTATCCACAGTCATGTCCTCAGTCTCCTCAGTTCATCTCTTGAGTCCATCTCCTCAGTCATCTCCTCAATCCATCTCCTCAGTCCTCTACTCAGTCTGTCTCCTCAGTCAGTCTCCTCAGTCCATCACCTCACTCCAATCTCCTCGGTTCATCTCTGCAGCCCATCTCCTCAGTTGTCTCCACAGTCCATCCTTCAGTCAAGCTCCTCAATCATTTTCTCAGTTCACTTCCTCACTTCGCCTCCTCAGTCATCTCCTCAGTCCACCTCCTCACTCCAACTCCTCAGTCCATCTCTTCCGTCCATCTCCTCAGTCCATCTTCTCAGTCCAGTCTCCTCAGTCCCTCTCTTCAGTCCATCACCTTAGTCATCTCCTCAGTACTGTTCCTCAGTTCAATCTCCTCAGTCTATCTCTGCAGTCCATCTCCTCAAACGAGTCTCTCACCATCTCCTCAGTCATCTCCTCAGTCCAACTCCTAAGTCCTTCTCCTCAGACGTCCGCTTGGTCGTCACCTGAGTCCACCTCCTCAGTCCACCTCATCAGTACACCACCTCAGTCCATCTCCTCAGTCCACCTCCTCAGTCCACCTCCTCAATCCATCTTCTCAATGCATCTCCTCAGTCCAGTCTCCTCAGTCCCTCTCTTTAGTCCATCTCCTCAATTGTCTCCTCAGTCCATCTCCTCAGTCCGAAGTCTCAGTCATTTCCTCAGTGCATCTCCTCGGTCCATCTCTGCAATTTTCTCCTCAGTCATCTCCTCAGTCCACATCCTCAGTCCATCTCCTCAGTCTATCTTCTAAGTTCATTACCTCACTCCAGTCTCCTCAGTCCATCTCCTCAGTCCATCTCTTCAATTCATCTCCTCAGTCAAAACATCTCAGTCCAGGGCTGGAGCAGTAGCACAGCAGGTAGGGCATTTGCCTTGCACGCAGCCGACCTGGGTTCAATTCCCAGCATCCCACATGGTCCCCTGAGCACTGCCAGGGGTAATTCCTGATCGCAGAGCCAGGAGTCCCCTCTTTGCATCACCGGGTGTAATCCAAAAAAGCAAAACAAACAAAAAAAAAATCTCAGTCCATCTCCTCAGTGGTCTCCTCAGTCATCTCTTCAGTTCGTCTCCTCAGTCTGTCTCCTTAGTACATCTCCTCAGTCTGTCTCTCAGTCTATCTCCTCAGTTGTCTCCTTAGTCCACCTCCTTAGTCCGTCTCCTCAGTCCATCTCCTCAGTCCAGTCTCCTCATCCATCTCCGTCCATCTCCTCAGTCATTTCCTCACTCAACCTTTTCACTCCACCTCTCAGTCCGTTCCTCCATCTATCTTTCAATCCATCTCCTCAGTCCAGTTTCCTCAGTCCATCTGTTCAGTCTGTCTCCTCAGTCATCTCCTCAGTCCTCCTCATCTCCTCAGTCCTCCTCAGTCCACCTCCTCAGTCCACCTCTTCAGTCCATCTCCTCTGTCCATCTCCTCAGTCCGTCTCCTAGTCCGTCACCTCAGTGTACCTCCCTAGTCCACCTCCTCAGTCCATCTCTTTAATCTGTCTCCTCAATCCGTCTTCTCTGTCCGTCTCCTCAGTCCATCTCCTCAGTCTCTCATTTCATCTCCTCAGTCCATCTCCTCAGTCATCTCTTCAGTCCACCTCCTCAGTCCCTCTTCTCAGTCCTCCTCCTCAGTCCATCTTCTCAGTTCACCTCCTCAGTCCATCTCTCAGTCATGTCCTCAGTCGTGTCCTCAGTCCCATCTCCTCAGTCCATCTCCTCAGTTGTCACTTCAGTCCATCTCCTCATTCATTCTCCTTAACCCCTCGCCTCAGTCCACCTCCTCAGTCCTCCTCCTTAGTCTTTCTCCTCAGTCCACCACCTCAGTCCATCTCCTCAGTTGTCTCCTCAGTCGTCTCCTAAGTACACCTCCTCAGTTCACCTCATCAATCCATCTCCTCGGTCCTTCTCAGTCCTTCTCCTCAGTCTATCTCCTTCTTCCATCTCCTCAGTCCATCTCCTCAGTCTATCTTCTCAGTTTGTCTCTTCAGTCCATCTCCTTGTCCTTCTCCGTAATGGTCTCCTCAGTCTGTCTCAGTCCATCTCCTCAGTGTGTCTCCTCAGTCCATCTCCTCAGTCGTCTCCTCAGTTCATCTTCATAGTCTGTCTCCTCATTATGTCTCTTCAGTCCATCTTCCATCTCTTCTCTCCACCTTCTGTAGGGTCAGCCCCGTCCCTGCTACAGCCCCCTTTCCAGTCTTCTATAAGCTGTTCCCCAAAGGGGGTGACCGCTTTCACAGTCCTGTGAGGTGATGACACCCATGCACACCTGGCTGCTTCCTGCTGTGTGGGATGATTGGGACCAGGTGATCCAGAACCCTCTGATGGTGTGGAAAGCTTGGGGACCCGTTTCCCCTCCAGTAGTGCAACCTGCCTCTCCCTGCAGTTCCTGAGCACAGGAGCCGGGCTACCCCTTGGCCTGGAGATTCCTCAGATAGTGACAGCCTCTCTGTCCTTGTCCATTCCATATCGGTGCAGAAGGAACTGTCCATGCAGAGACACGGCTCTGTGGAGGCACCGGGAGAGAGAGATTACAATTGGAAACAAACTGCACCCAGCGGGGAGATGGACTGGGGAAGCTGCAGCGACTGAGGTGCCTGAGCAGAGCAGCCGTCAGCTGGCTCCAGCCTCTAAGTTTCCTCTGACTGGCCATGTGCTGGTTAGCTTTAGGGGGATGGGCAGTCTCTGGTCTCGTGGCAGGCCAGTGCGACAAACTGGAACTGTCAGCCACAGCCGAAAAGTTGGGAGTGTTCCAGTGGGCGGATAAAACACAAAAACTTTTTTTTTCTTTTTGGGTCACACCCGGCATTGCACAGGGGTTATTTCTGGCTCTGTACTCAGGAATCACTCCTGGCAGTGCTCGGGGGACCATATGGGATGCCGGGGATTGAACCCGGGTCAGCCGCGTACAAGGCAAACACCCTACCTGCTATGCTATCGCTCCGACCCCTAAAACACAAAAACTTAAAAAAAGAGGAAGCTTCAGAGGAGTAGAATTTCACCCCTGCCGAGGAAGAGCAGAGGGCATGAGTGAGACCCTCACCTGACTTTACCGACTATTCCCGAGCTGGCAGACTTGCCGAGCACTGTGAGGGCAGAGCCAGAGCATCCCGCCGGGCGCTTCCTCTGTCCCAGTGTAACTTAACGGGTTTGTTTTTGTTTGGGGGCCACGGCCGGTGATGCTCAGACGTGCTCCTGGCTCTGTGCCGGGGGATCACGCCTGGCAGGTTCCAGAGTCACAGGAGTGCCAGGATTGAGCCTGGCTCGGCCACGTGCAAGGCCCACGCCCACCTGCTGTCCCATGGTGTGGGGCCGAGGGTGACGGAACTGACCGTGCTCTTACCGGACTCAGTCTGTTCTTTCCTTGAGCTTCCACCAGATTTGACCTGTGTCTCTTGTCTGGGTGAACTCCAGAATTCTCTGGGGTTTCTTCTGGTCCTGACCAGGCCCACCCCGATTGCCCTCTGGATGGACTCAAGGGCGCTCACTCGGGGCTGCCCCGGTTACCCATGAGGGAAGGCTGCTTCCCACCATCCTGCACAAGCGTGCACAGTACTGGGAGGCCCAGGGAGAAGCTGGTGTTGGCACTTCCCCTGCAGCACGTGCGGGCTCAGCTCAGAGGGAAAACGCTTTTCAGTCTGGGAAAAGTAAAATGTTTTAAAGAACAGAACAAGAAATCGCTGGATGATCGTGTCCCCTCAAACCCGTCCTGTGCCAAGACTCACAGCCCCGCCTGTCCTGCGTGTGGCTCGTCCATAAACTGTGCAGAAATGTTCATCCTTAGGTCCTCGATGGGTCCATCCATCCATCCGATCTCTGGCCAAAGCCATTTCCAGTACCCTGGCCACAAGCGTGAGCGCGGTTCTGCCCACGGTCAGAGGCTTTCTTTTGTTTTGTTTTGTTTTGTTTGTACTTTTTTGGGGGTCACACCCAGCGATGCTCAGGCTTTGCTTCTGACTCTGCACTCAGGAATCACTCCTGTCCAGGGGACCCTATGGGATGCCAGGGATCAAACCCGCGTCAACTGTGTGCAGGGCAAACACCCTCCCCGCTGTATTATCGCTCTGGCTCACTTTCAAAGGGTCACCACTCCCCATGTTTGCAGCACAGTTAGGTCAGCCGTTTCCTGATTGTTCCTAGAATAATAGCCAGAACTGACCAGGCCAGACCAGACCTCCAGTGTCTGATCTCAGAGCACCCCAGCCAGAGAGCTGGCAGAGCCAGAGCGCTCGCCTCATGCATACCGCCCGGGTTAAGGCCCGGCAGCCGGCAGAGCCCACCGGGCCCTATAAAATCAGGGGACATTCCCAGCTGCAGCTCTTCTCTCCAGTGTGGAGCTTCAGAGCTCCAGTCAGTAGATTCACTGCAACCAGCCACGGCAGGGAACGCTGTGTGTGTGCCGTGCCCCCTCTTGTGTGAGTTTACACACATGACCGAGACTTAAACCTGAAAGCTTTGTAACTTTTCCCACAGTGATTCAATAAATAAATAAATAAATAAAAAGAAAGAAAATGTACTGTTTGGGGAAAAAAAAAAGTTTAGGGGCCAGGTACATAGTACAGTGGTTAGGGTGCTTGCCTTGCATACAACAGATCTGGATTTAATCCCCAGCACCCTATATAGTCCTCCAAGCTTGTCAGGAGTGAACCTTGAGCACAGAACCAGGAGTAAGCCCTGAGCACAGCCAGGTTTGGCCCAAAAACAAAAATAAATAAATAAATAAGTAAAATAAAGATGGAATATTTCTCCTTATATGATAACAGTTACCATGAAACGTCAGCATGCCAGACAGGCCCAGGTCTGGAGCGACAGTGTACTGGGGAGGGCTTTACCTTGCATGTGACTGACCTGGGTTCCATCTCCAGCATCCCCTACGGTCCCTGGAGCACTGCCAAGAGAAGTTCCTGAGCAGAGAGCCAGGAGTGAGCCCTTCTGTGTGGGTGTGGCCCCAAAACAGAAAACAAAAGCAAATAGGTTTAATTCCTGTTATTTCTCTTTCTACAAGGGAAAAGAAGTTTCTGTGGGGAACCCTGGGGATGCTTTTCAAGAACTCCCCATATTGCACTTTCTTTTATTCCTAAATAGTGAAATTAAGATTTTGTGTTTTTAGAACAGTAAAGACCTTTACTACGGAGCAGAGGAGAATGCACCTGCTTTCGCAGGCCTGGTTTCCCTCAGCCTCCAGCTCTGCGCCAAGCCATGCGTGCTGCAGTGAACGTGGCGTCCTGAGCAAGAGGACAGCGCGGCCAGCCCAGACTGGACCCCACGTCAGTTCAGGTACAGTGGCAAACACGAAGCTCACGTCTAGGATTTTATCCTTTTCTTAGCATTTTCATTTCTGAGAAGTTTTTTTTTTTGATAGGTATTAAAAGGTTTATGACACCTTTAGATTCTAATGAAACCTTTAGTCAAACTGACAAATTTCAAAGCTGTATAAAACTTCCTTGGTTGAGGGGCTGGAGCGTTAGCACAGCGGGTAGGGCATTTGCCTTGCACGCAGCCAACCCGGGTTCGATTCCTAGCATCCCACATGGTCCCCTGAGCACCGCCAGGAGTAACTCCTGAGTACAGAGCCAGAGCCAGGAGTAACCCCTGTGCATCGCCAGGTGTGACTCAAAAAGAAAAAAAGAAAAAAAAAAAAACTTCCTTGATTGGGGCTAGAGCGATAGCACGGCAGGTAGGATGTTTGCCTTGCACGTGGCCAACCTGGGTTTGATTCCCAGAATCCCATATGGTTCCCCAAGCACCGCCAGGAATTACGAGTAATTCCTGAGTGCAGAGCCAGAAGTAACCCCTGTGCATCCCCGGATGGATGTGACCCAAAAAGCCTAAATAAATAAATATATAAATAAAACAAACACACATCCCCCCCAAAAAATAAATAAATAAATAAATAGAATTCCTTGGTGGCAAAGAAGCTTGGCTCTTAAAAATCCAAGATCAGGGGCTGGAGCGATGGCACAGCAGGGAGGGAATTTGCCTTGCACACGGCCGACCCAGGTTCGATTCCCAGCATCCCCTATAGTCCCCTGAGCACCGCCAGGAGTAACTCCTGAGTACATGAGCCAGGAGTAATCCCTGTGCATTGCTGGGTGTGACCCAAAACGAAAAGAAAATCCAAGATCAGGTCCAGAGCAGTGGTACAGTGGGCAGCACGCTGGCCTCACCCACAGTGAACTGAGCTGGATCCCTTGTTGGTGCTAAGCCAGGACATTAGGACGAGCCTCTGGACGCTGCCCTGCAAGCAGGAAGCAGAACCGAGGCCCACTTTCACATGAAGTGGGCAAGCTAAAACTTGTGAGTCCAAGCACCAGGAGGATACAGCATACTCTCATACACTCTTGGAAGCACAAGGCAGCAGTTTCCTCCTCTCTCAGACATCCTCGATCTGGATTGACCTTCAAGTATCAGTATGAGCCTTTTCTTTGCCCCCTGTGTAACCAACCACGAGAGTGTGGGGGACGTGATCTGTAGAGCCTACGTGTCCAGCTCCATACCTCCCTCCGACGTTTTTAAATCATTACAACAGAGCTTTGACAGTACAGCTTTGACAGGACAATGTATACCCTACTGTTCTTTTGACAGTGCTTATCCTATAACTGTTTATACTCTCTCGTTAGTGAGTCTTTCTCTGTGATGAAGTCATTAAGATGTAACTGACTAAAAAAAAAATCGAATAAAAGAGGCCTCCGGAGGCTCTTGGCCTCGAACCAGATTGAGCCTCGGCCCTCTGTGCTCTCGACATTCCTCTCATATGTCTTACCTCTGTGCTTCCGACTGATTGATCAATCACTTCACGCAACAATCCCTGCCACTTCGGCGGGTCCCTGAGCCGGGCCAGGAGTGAGCCCAGAGCACTGCGCTCAGAGGAAGCTCTGAGCACCCCCAGGTGCAGCCTGGAGCCGGCAGGACGCCCTGAAGTATCCCCAGGTGCAGCTCCTGAGCACGGCCCGCAGAAGCCCTGGGCATCGCTGGGTGTGGCTGGACCCCCAGGTGGGGGCAGCAGATGTTTCGGGGATGAAGTGCTTGCTTGCTGCATCCCACTGACCCTGGTTCGAACCCTTCGCCTTCAGTGTCCCACTGTCACAGCTGAGTGTCGGTGTCCGTGGCAGAACTGACCCGTGGGGAGCAGATGGCGGAGCAGTGGGCAGTGCTGGAGGGGGCAGTGGGCGGCAGTGGGCACCCTGGCCAGCCCTGCGGGTGTCTGCTGCCGCTCCCCTTCCTCACAGCGACCCTGCCCCGAAGGGAAGAGGAGCCCAGCTCGCCCTGTGGGAGGCAGACTCAAGCTTTCTAGAAACAGGCCACTGATCAGAGAGGCCAGCAGAGACCTGCTCCCGGGACTCAGACCCCCAGAGGGTGCTGTGCCGCAGGAGTATGTAATTGTCCTGTGAAGGTTGTTGTCACAGTCCTCACCGTGCCCTGCACTGGGCGGGAGAGGCCCGCGGCGTGTGTCTCTTTCTCCTCAGGGTGTGGCGAGGTCGCTTTGTTTCCGATAACAGCACACGCACGTACAAACTGTCCTTAATCTTACAAGCTTTTAATTGACTTTTTGGAGCATAAATGCGGCCTCAGTTTCTGAACCATCCCTCACTGGGTTCCAGTAGCCCGAGCTGTTGGGACCCCGGGGCCTGCAGGAGCGGAATAAACACCTGCCCACCTGCATCCGCCCATCTCACTGCGAAGGCCACAGGACAGAGGGTCCCCATGGCAGGAGCTGGGACTCCAGAGCACTGACGGGCACATCCCGCCACCCAGTCACATGCCCTGAGCACTGTCTGGCACATCCTGACATCCAGTCACTCGCCCCAACCACTGACAGGCACATCCCACCACCCAATCAGACTCCACAAGCAATGACAGGCACATCCCCTATCCAATCACACGCCCGGGGACTGCCAGGCACATCCCGCCACCCAATCACTCCAAGCGGGACCTGGAGAGAGATGCACCCAGTTCCCGCCACGCCCAGCCCATGCCTGGGTGCCCTTGACCGTCCCTGCAGGTGAGCCTTGCTTTGGGGTCCCACCCTGGAGCTGCAGGTGGCGGGACTCTCATAACCAGGCTGGCCTGGGGTGAGGGGGGTCTCACCAGAACCACACCACGTGGCCCCAGCAGCCTGCCGGGGTTCGCGTCCGCAGTGGAGCGGCACCCAGCGCGGGTGCTCACCAGGCCATGGGGGGCGGAGGGGCCCGCGCACGAGGGTCCCCCCGACGGGCTGTACCCGAGCTGTGTCATTCTGGGCAGCCCTGACCCCAAGAGCCCAGCAGAGGAGGCTCGAGAAGTGGCGGGGGCCCAGGATGACCCCACGAGGGAGGGTGGTCCCGAGCCCTGTCCGGCGCCCCTTCCTCACTCCTCGCGCCCCCCCTGCCTTTGGGACCCCCGGGAGGGGCCCGGCCCGATGGGGCAGGCGGCAGCAGGCCTTGTCCCAGCACCCTGCGGTGTGACAGAGCTGCTGTCCCGGGCAGTGTCCACCTCTGGCCAGCTGTGTGGTGCGGGCCCCGCCAGGGTGTGTCTGAAGTTGCTGGGTTGCGGCGGGCGCCGGGTGCAGGCCCTGGGCAGCGGAGAGAAGGTTCTGGAGTGTGGGGCGGGGCACCTGGGCTTGTGAGGGCGCCTGGCGGGGCCTGGGGAGTAGACTGGGCAGCGCCTACCTGGGGCTCAGGGCGTACTGGCCTTTCCGGTCCAGGCCGCGGCCCGCGCGGATGGCGAACCAGAGGAAGGAGCAGAGCAGCATGGCGTAGGCCTGGGGGTGCAGAGCGCTGCAGGCACGCGCGGGGACCCGCACCCCTGCATGCCCGCCCGGGGCCCTCCCGCGCCCCTGCATCCCTGCACGCCCTGCCCGAGGCCCTCCCGCACCCCTGCACGCCTGCCTGGGACCCTCCCGCACCCCTGCACGCCTGCCTGGGACCCTCCCGCACCCCTGCACCCCTGCACGCCCTGCCCGAGGCCTTCCTGCACCCCTGCACGCCCTGCCCGAGGCCTTCCTGCACCCCAGCACTCCCTACCAGAGGCCTTCCTGCACGCCCTGCCTGAGGTCCTCCTGCACCCCTGCACGCCTGCCCGGGACCCTCCCGCACCCCTGCACCTGGCCTGGGATCCCCACCCGGCAGGGCGGCGGGCAGGGCAGCGGTACCGTGGCAGCGAGACCCAGGCCGATGAGAGCCGAGGCGACGTTCCCGTGTGTGCGCAGGGAGTCCCGGATGCTCCGCAGGCAGTCCTGGGGAGAAGGGGTGCGGGTCGGTGGTCCCCACCCGCCCAGGAGTCCTGGGTGACGCCCTTGCAGTCCCCTTAAGCACCCGACCCCCAGGTAGAGCCAACGCCTCTGCTTTGCGGACTCCAGACCCTGCGCTTCTAGAGGCTTCCAGGGCCCTGGGCTGAATTGGGGAGCCACAGCTGGAGGGAGGAGGCTTGATGGGGAAGGGGCAGTGCGGGGATCTGACCCTCTGTCCTGCCCAGCTCTGTGGGGAGCCGGTGGGAGGCGGCAGCAAGGTGGTCTCCACGCTGGGGAGGCCCGGGAGGGGAACGCCTGGTTTTCCGGTGCAGTCTGGGGGGTCTAGGGCGGGCTGAGTCCAGGCCCCTCCAGCTAGGCCCCCCACTGCCCCCTCACCTAGGCCCCCGACCCGCGCAGGCCTCACCCCACCAGCAACACCTCAGTAGGGCCCCGCCCCGCACAGGCCCCGCCCCAGCACCACCTCAGGAGGCCCCGCCCCGCATAAGCCCCGCCCCAGAACACCTCGGTAGGCCCCGCCCCACACAGGCCCCGCCCCAGCACCACATAGGCCCTGCCCCCAGCACATCAGTAGGCTCCGCCCCCCGCACCACCTCAGGAGGCCCCGCCCCACACAGGCCCCGCCCCAGCATCGCCTCAGGAGGCCCCGCCCCACGCAGGCCCCGCCCCAGCACATCTCAGGAAGCCCCGCCCCACAAAGGCCCCGCCCCCAGCACCACTTCAGCAGGCCCCGCCCCCAGCACATCTCAGTAGGCCCCGCCCCATGCAGGCCCCGCCCCCAGCACCACCTCAGTAGGCCCCGCCCCCGCCAGCTCCGCCCCTACCTGTCTCCCTGAGGCCCCCTGGCACAGGTGCGCCTCTGCACTCCCCAGGCGGCTGAAGGGCGAGCTCTTCCCGCAGCACTGGAACTGCAGGGACAGGGAGACGAGGGTTCGCGCACCTGGGTCCCCTGGGCTCCCGCGGGGCCGATCTGGAGTCTGAGGCAGCAGAGTTGAGGCGGCCCAGGCCCTGCCCCGCCCCCGCGGCCAGCACAGGACAAGGCCCTGCTCTGACCCATCCGGCGGCGGCTGCCCCCGCGGGCCCAGGGGGGACAGGAGCCGCGGCGCTCACCGCATCGTGGATGGCCGCCAGCTCCTGGTGGCCGCTGCCGGGCGCGCTGTGCACTGCCCTCTCGTACAGGGCATCGTAGGCGTCCAGCAAGGTGTCCTCTGCCTGCGGGGGTGCGGGGAAGGCCCAGCGCTCCGTGGGGTGGAGGGTGCTGTGAAGCCCCATGCTCCCCATCTGTGCCCCCAGCAAGTGCTGATGCGCCCCCCTCCCCAGCCCCTGCAGCGCGGCCCTGCTGTCTGTTTGAGGTCATCAGTGCTCCCATAGAGTGCTCCCAGGGGCTGACCCTCTCTGCCTCAGTTTCCTCTAATGCCACATGTCCTTGTGGGGACAGCGTCACCTGAGTCAGGTGGGCTGACTAATCCCACCTGCCCCTGCTCTGGACCTCATCCACACAAGGACACGCGAGCTTTGAGCTTTGGCGTGGCTCCTGCCCGCAGTCCAGCTGCAGGCCGGGTTGGTGTCCTTGCCTGTGGCCTGTCCAGCCAGGTCCAGGCTATTGTGGTGGACCGGCTGACTCATCTCTCTGCCTGGCCATGTCCTTCCACAAACAACAGGTCACTGAAGCCCCCGGGCTGGGGAGAGCTTGGCCTCCAGCCCAAGCCCTTGGTGCCCTCCGGAGCTGGCACACGCACTGCCAAGCAGGTCAGGAGGGCCCCAATGCCATCTGGTGTAAAGGGGCCAGGAAGGAGGATAGGGGTGCGGGGACAGGGAGAAGATCCGCCGAGAGGGTTTCTTTCCACCCCTTCCTGAGGCAGGACCCCCAGCTCAGCTTCTCCCCCACCCACCATGGAAATCCAACCCAGAGCATTCTGTGGGGGGTGGGCAAGGGCACGGGGGTCGCAGTTGTCTGCAGGGAGCTGGGCAGGTTCAGAGCCCTCTAGTGGTCAGTGTAGGGAGTTGCAGCTGTCGCCGGGGGAGCTGGGAGGGCCCAGAGCCCTCTAGTGGTCACTGTAGGTACTGCAGCTGATCCCCAGGGCGGGGCGGGTGGACCCAGCGCACTAATATTAGGCCAGCGTAGGGGTCTGCTGCTGTCCCCAAGAGATCTGGGCAGGTCCAGAGCCTCCGAGTGTCCAGTCTAGGGGACTGGAGCTGTACCCAGAACCCCTAGTGGCCTCCTGAGCAGGAGCACTGTGTGATGACCCAGAGCCCCCAGCTAGACCAATACACTGGGGGTACTGGCCTGGGGGTCCCAGGACTCAGCTGCAGGTGCTGGGTGGCCCTGGGAGGGAAGAAATGACTCAGCCCCCAGGAGCTGACAGTCTCAGTGACACCCAGGAGCCCTCAGGGCATGGGGCCCCTGGGTCCCCAGGCTGTGTCCCCCCACAGGTGTGAGCTGTCCCCTCCCCCCACGTGGCAGGCAGCCGGCTCACCTGGGTGGGGTTGCGAGCCCTCCAGAAGGCCACCTGCACCAGGGCACAGAAGACCAGGGCGAAGCTCAGGAAACCCTGCGGGGGACATCACTCAGGCCCGGCAATGGGGGGCCTCACTCAAGTGGGAGGGGGAGCTGGCGGGGGAGGGTCATCCCTCGCGCGGGGCCGTGGGGGAGGGGCATCACTGGGGGTCAGTGGGGGAAGGGTACCACTCAAGCCAGCAGTAGGGGTGTCACCCAGGCAGGGCGGCAAGGGCTCAGAGGGGATAGCATGCTGGGAGCCCTGGGGGGGCAGGGTGCCCAGACCCCCAGGCCGCACCCCTCTGCCCCCAGAGACTTCTGTGCGGCTGTGGTGGGTTTCCTCCGGGCAGGCCAGTCCGGGAGCTGCTCTGAGGCAGTGGCGAGGGGACAACAGCTGGACAGGCCACTCCGCTGGGCATGGGGCGCTCCCGCACACGACTTGCGTGTACACACACAGTCACGCACACGGTGACTCGGGGCTGTCTGTAAGCCACCAGGCATGGGGGCCAGGATGGAGGGCACTGCCTGGGCAGCTGCAGCCCTGCTGGTGCCACCTGGGCATGGGACTCGGGCCCAGCCAGCCGCCCCCAGGTGTCCCGCCCTGCACGGGAAGTGCCCCCTCCCAGGGCTTGGGCGGGTGCAGGGGCTCCCCCAGGCTCCCACACTGGGGCAGGTGTGGGGCTGCTGTCCGGCGGGCACTCACCCCTGCCATGAGGCCCCCTGCCTCCCGCAGGGTGGCCACGACGCTCAGCACAGCGCCCAGGCCCAGAAGCGCGGCCAGGCAGAGGCCCGTGTGGAAGGCTGCGGGGAGAGGACCGTTAGGGCGCCCACCCAGAGTTCTCACTGCGGCGCCCATGGGGTACAGGCCTGGGGGCCAGGGGGCACCCGGGGAAGGAGGCTGGGGTGGCCTCGCTTCCTGCCCGCTATCTCTGCCCCACATGCGGCCACACTCGAAGGTGGCTGGAACCTTATCAGCTGACCCAGGCCCCTGATGCTTCTGGGGTGGGCAGCCCAGGGCAGGCTGGGGCCTCCGGGGAAGGCCTAGAGCTGCTGGCTGGCTCTGGGGCCCGTCCCCCCCACATCCTTCTGGGCTGTCCCCCACCCTCTGGGGCTTCCTGTGCTCCCCGAGAGCCGCCAGCGGTTGCCCAAAGCCACGTCCGGGCCGTGGTGCCCACGGCACCCACCGCACTCACCCCAGCGCTGGAAGGACAGTCTCTCGGGGGAGCCGCGGCCCGCAGCAGCGAAGGGGGCCCCAAAGTAGGTCAGCGCGGCCAGCGCGGCCAGCGACAGGCCCAGCAGCTGGGGGAGAGCAGGGTGCGGGGAAATGTCGGGGTGCAGGTGGGCATCTCACCTCCCTGCCGGCGGGGGTGACTTTCCCATCCCCCTCCCCGCAGGACTGCAGCCCAACGCCCCGCCCCAGTGTCCAGCCACTGTCCAGACGTGGACAGTCAACCTGAGGGTTATGCCAGCCCGCCTTGGCCCAGCACCGCACCCCTACACCCCTCGTCCTGTGCCCCCCATCCTGCGCCCTTGCTCGCCCACGCTCCTGGGCCTCGCACACTGCCCTGCTGGAGGATGGACACCCCCGGGGGCAGCCGCCAGGGTCGCCCCTCCCGATCCGGCCCCATGCCCCGGGGCAGAAGGGGCGCCCCTCTGGGAAGGTTAGGTCGGCCCCGCCCCCACCCGTTACCATGACAAAGAGGCTGGTGACCAGCAGCTGGCACTTGGCCACCCGGACGCGGCTCCGCGTGCCCATGGTGTCACTCAGCGGCACTGTGGGCCCAGCAGGCCAGGATCAGTCCAGCTGCTGGGTGGGGGGCGGGGGCGGGACAAGGGCGGGAAGAGGCGTTGCCTGCCCAGAGGGCGGGGCCAGCCCTGGAGTGAGATTCGGGAGGGGCGTGGCCTGTCAGGGGGCGGGGCTTATTGAGGGCGGGGCTCCATGGGGGCGTGGTCAGCCCTGGAGTGAGATTTCGGAGGGGAGGGGCAGTCCTGAGGGCGCGTGGGTGGGGCTTTAAGAGGGCGTGGCAAGCCCTGGGGTGGGGCTTCAAGAGGGCGTGGCCAGCCCTGGGCACAAGGTGGGGAGCAGGGCTGGAGCCAGAGGTCGCCCCTTCTCCGGGTGCCCTCCGTGGGGGGGATTTCCGGGTGCTCTGGGCGAAGCAGCTGGCAGGGTGACATGCCACTGGGTTCTCAGATCTGCGCTAAACTTGGGGGCACCTTGAGCCCGTGATGGGAGGGGCGGGGAGTCGCAGGCGCAGGTGGGCTCTGCAGGTGAGGAGTGGTCAGTGGGGGCTAGAGGGGTGGCCAGGCTAGCTTGGACCTGGGCCCAGCCCTCTGCGGAAATACACCCGGGTATGGCAGGATGAGCCCCAGCAGCCTTGGTCCTCAGCAGCAGACCCTGCGTGCCCCCCAGCCCGGAGTGTGGCACCCCCAGCCCCCTGAGCCCCCTGCTGTCTGGAGCCGTCCACCCATGCAGTGAGAAGGGCCTCTGGTCAGCTCAAGTCCAGCTCCGGGTGCCCGTTTGGGAGCTGAGGAGCTGGGGTGCTGGGCGAATGGGGGCACCCTGCGGGGCCAGGCCCTTGCCCAGGGGACCTGCTGTGTCTCTGCAGGTGGGCAAAGCCACTGCAGGGTGGAGGCTTCTGAGGAACGCCCAGCCCCCACGCCAGGCAGGGAGCTCTACATCTGCCCTGGGGACCCCACCCGGGTCGGAGTCACGTGATCCCGCCCCACCCTGCAGGAAGTGGCAGCCCAGCACCAGTCACACACACACACACACACACACATACACACACGGCAGCCTGCAAGGGGGCACAGGCCCTCACACGCTCTCTGTGACGGGCACCGCAGAGCCAGGCCTGTGGCCAGTGTCCTGCAGCCATCAGCTGCCAGAGGGACAGTGGGGGTGGGGCCCAGGCCTCCGGCCGGCTGCTCCCCGCTGTTCCTTCCCTGCCCTGCCTGACCTTGCTCCTGCCTGCTGCCTCCGTTTCCCTGGCTCTTCCCTCGGGCGTCGGGGTGGGGGCTGAGGCTGTTTGCAGTGTGCTCCCCAGGTGAGCACCCCCAGACCCCACCCCCTGGGCCTGGCCCAGTCACTCGGGGAATCTGGACCCGCCATCCCCTCCACACACACCCGTGCACCTGGATCCAGCCCCTCCTGCACTCCCACGAGAGGCTGCCCCACCGCTGCGGGCGGCAGGGTCCCCAAAGGTACGAGTGGGCAGGAACCCCAGGAGCGGGCTGGCCCTCGGGCTTGTCTCAGCAGAGGCCCAGGCCTGGCCTTGGGGGTGGGCAGGGAGTTGCCATCAACCTCACTGCACTCGCCGTCTTGGGGAGCCCTGCGCCCAGCACCCCCAGAGGCCCCTCCCAGGACAGGCATCCCGGGGGGAAGCACGCAATACAGAGAGGAGAGGCTGGGGACTCCGCAGAGTCGCGCTGAGTGGACCCTGAAGTCCTGCACCTGTGTGGTGGCCTGAGGGGGCTTCGGGCGGCCGTGAGGGTCCTCACTCAGGGTCACGGCTCTGCTACCCTGGTCTCCCCAGGGAAAGGGCCCCAAGGGACCACCTGCAGCACTCAGCCCCCAGGGCCTGGAATTTGCCCCCGGCTCTGCCCACAGCCTGGTCATGGCCCTGTGCGGCTCAAGATGGCCCCGTCACTCATTCAGTCAGCCACTCATTCATTCAATCATTCATTCACTCATTCATCTACTCATTCAGTCATTGACTCCCTCATTTGCTGTATATTTTCTGAGCCCCACTGTGCCAATTCTTTCATTTATTTTATTTATTTATTTATTTTTGCTTTTTGGGTTGCACCTGATGATGCTCAGTGGTTCCTCCTGGTTCATGCACTCAGGAATTACTCCTGGCGGTGCTCAGGGGACCATATGGGATGCTGGGAATCGAACCCGGGTCGGCCGCGTGCAAGGCAAACGCCCTCCCCGCTGTGCTGTCGCTCCAGCCCCGAGTTCTTTTATTTTTTAAATTTAATTTTACTTTTATAAAGTTGTTCACAATATTTGATTACATTTCCCACCCCCATTACACCTTCCGCCACCACGGATGTTTCCGCCCTGGCCCCCAAAGTGTGCCCCCAAGGCAGGACCTAAATAATTTATTTTGTGTTGCTTGTTGCGGATAACCCACCACTGAGCCAGTTCCTGGGGAACCAGTGAATCAGGCAGACACTGTGAGTGAGACGAGGGCCACAGCGGACAGGCCTGGGAGAAAGGACCCGAGCCCCGGGTCCTGAAGGGGAAGAACACTGGGCAGGGAGGGCGGTCCTGGACCGGCCCCGCTGAGTCCCGGCTGCCTAGCGGGGACAGTGTGGAAAGTCTGGGGATCAGCCGGGGAGCAGACGGGCAGCCGGCAGCACCCTCTCTAGATGGCCCGTGTGGCCGGGGCTCGTAGGCTGTGGATCCCCTTTGGGGTGCATCCTTGGCATAGGGTCCGCTGACTGTGGCCAGATGTGGCATTTGCAGTGGCGGGGTCCGGAGTGGGCACCCGGGCAATGAGTGGGAAAGCCTGGACACAGGAGGGGCAGGCCGCAGGCTCAGGACTGCAGAAGCGGCCAGGGGGAGGCTCGCCCAGCACCAACCCCCACCCTGCCTGGACAGGCGTGCGCTCCTGGGCTGGGCACAGGCGACGCTTCCCGGGCCCCTGTGTCTGTGCAGGGCCGAGAGGGGACTCACCACCCCAGAGCCCTGCCCCCTTTCATCCGTCATGGTGTCCACAGAGGGCCTGGAGGAGCCACATGCCCATGTCGGCCCTTCTGGTCGCTGGTGAAGAAGGGCCCCACCGGACACTCAGACAATGGGGGGACTCGGGCTGCAGTGCTCAGGCTGCCCTCAGCCCTCCCAGCGCAAGGGTTTGTCAGTGAGCACGAAGGAGCTGCCCCGAGACACCCCCCAGCACCCCAGGGGTCACTGCACTCACAGGTCCAGGCGAGCCCACTGACCCCTTCACAGAGCTGGACTCCTCAGAGGCTGGGCAGACGGGTATCAGCCACAGCGACCGGCTGCTCCCTCGAACCTGGCCCCCAGTCAGCTGCCCCTGCTCTGCTGACCCCCTATTTGCCAGGGGCATCTGAATGAGTTCAAGTTCATGTGTCTCTCTGAGCACCGGACCTGGGGCTCACTGCATCTGAGTGTGCAGGTATCCAGAAGATTCCAAGCCCTGAGGACTCCTGGAGCACAGGAGATCTGTGAGCACCAGTAGAAGCCCTCAGAGCAGGCCTGCGCTGGAGGGGCGGGGACAGGCAGCACAGACGGGCCCTGCAGGCTGCCCAGGGCTCAGGGCAGGGTCCTGCTCTGCTCCAGCTGGGGCGGTGCAGGCCACGGGGCACCTGAGAGTTGCGGCTGCCCCCTGGGACTCATGACCCCCCCGCCAGCTCTGCCCACCCACCTGCAGAGCCTCTTCGGGCCCCAGAACTCCAGGTCCGTGGCCAGAGCTGAAGGGGTGCCCGGACGGGGGTCCGGGCACTTGGCACAGGCCCTGCCCGACGATGCTTTGCCAGTAGTGCAGGGGGCAGGGGGTGCGGCTGCTTCTAGATGGGAGGCCCCTGTACCCCTCAGTGACTGGGACAGACCAGGTCACCCCGAGTCAGCAGGGCCGGGTGGGCCGGAGCCCCAGCTCCCTCCACAAGGCACAAGGACCGCGAGGCACCCCAAACACCGCTGCCCTGTGGACTGATGTCCTGGGGGGCAGCCATGGCCATGGAGAGGCGGCCTGCTATTGGTGAAGGTGACCTCACACACCAGGGTCAGTGCATCTGGGTGTGCAGCATTTCCAGAGAGTTCCAGAAAGTTCCAAAGAGTTCCAGGAGGTTCCAGCCCTGAGTGCTCCTGGAACACGGGAGATCTGTGGACCAATGTGACCCGTGGACTCCTGAGGAGGGTTTACGCACCCCCGCACCCCCGCACCCCCGCGGCGGGGGGGTGGTCAGCGGTTTCCATCTCCCCACGCGGTTCTCAAGGTTCAGGGCGACCTGGTCACTTGGGGCAACCGGGCAGCTGCGGCCTCCTCGGGAGCTCACCTGCTCCAGGCCAGTGGAAAGCGCCCCCCAGCCGGCCCCCGGTGCCCCCGGCGGAGGGTGCCCTTCCCTCTGCCCCCTCCCCGGCCCGCCCGCCCGCGGGCTGACTCGCCTGCCTCGGGAGGGAGGGACCGGGAAGGCTCGGCAGGTGCGGGGGCGGGAGCGCGGCCACCCCGGAGCGCTTTGTAGCCGCCGGCGCGGAGCCACGCGCGGGGCGGGGCGCGCTGCTGCCCGGCGCGTGCGGCCCGGGGGTCTCCCGCGGCCACGCCTTCCCCGCCCGTCCCCCCGCGGCGGCGTGCGCCGAGCCGAGCGAGCGTGCGGGCCACCGAGGGGCCCGGCGGGGCGGGGGCCGGGGCGCGCCCGGGTCCGAGTCCCGGGGCGGGCTGCGCGCGCAGGGGGCGGGCGTGGGAACGGGGCGCGGCGCGGGGAGGGCGCCGCCCGGCTTAAAGCCCGCGGCCCGCGCCGCCCGCCAACCGCACGCGCCGAGCCGCGCCGCGCACCCCGGGGAGTCCCCGGCGGCCCCTGGGCGCAGCGCGATGGACGGCGGCGGCCCCGGGCCCGCGGCCCCCGAGCTGCTGCGCTGCGGCCGGCGGCGGCGGCCGGGCGCGCCCGACCCCGCGAGCGGCCCCGCGGCCGTGGCGCGCCGCAACGAGCGCGAGCGCAACCGCGTGAAGCTGGTGAACTTGGGCTTCCAGGCGCTGCGCGAGCGCGTCCCGCCGGGCGCCGCCAGCCGCC